AAATGAATACCTTGCATAAGCAGAAGGTCATAGAATTTGTTTAATGATTGTAATAATAAATCATGACTGAATTAATAAAAGAAAATAAAAAAGTATACGTTTTATACAGTTTTTGCTGTTTTAAAATGCATAGTATAATTTTAAATAAAACGACCAAACAACACTGGCAGTCTGTTTTTTAAAACACTAAATCATTTAGTTCCATTGCTCGTAATAATAATTCAGCGTATCTACACATGTCGTAAAAAACATCCCAACGTTTCGACTGCCTTGTAATTAATAGCTAAAAACATTTACACAAATTCGGAAATAATACGTGATTGACATGTGCCAAAATTCGGTCTGGTATTACAAAAGGACCACTACAAGGCAGACTAGCCTCTTATTATAGGTCCGACAGGTTCTTAAAATTTGCGAAGTGCGTGTGGCCTTTTGTTGTATTTTTGACATCCGAATACCGACAATTGTGACCACTTTTCAAGGTTCTGCTTCAATAATAAAGGTAGGCGAAATAACCACTTTCGCATTTTACCGTAAAAAATGGAATTTTCATAAAATATAGAGGTAGAGGTATTTTAAATACTTCAGATTTTAAGAGGTATATATTTAGATGCTGATAAAAAAAAATTTATTATTTATTTATTAAAACTTACAAACACCACCTAGGTAGTAATTACATGTAAGAGTGCTCATTACTTGATATAACAATATACACACAAAAAAATACAAAAAAATACAATATACACACAAGCACAAAATAAAAACACAGAAAGTAAACACATTAAAAAAAGACACAAGTTAATAAAATTTTAAAATTGAGTCCATTTCTTATCTATTCATAACATTTTTTTTAAATCCCTTACACTACAGTTAAAGAGGTCTATATCACAGATCTTTATTAACGCATTACACTGATATTGTATAAAGTTTATTATTGCATAAGAATTATGACTACAAGAAAATTGGTCATTACTGTTTACCCTTAGGTTGACCTTTGGCACATGCAACCTAATAAAGTTGATCAAACCACATGTCTTATATTTAACATTGTTAATATTATTATGAATAAACATAACACAATGCATATTTCTTCTTTGCTCTAATGACTGCAAGCTAAATATTTGAAGCAACTCTTTTGATGGCGTAAGGTGAGTATACACATTGTATTTCTTAAGGTATAAATACCTTAGAAATCTTTTTTGTACCTTTCCTATATGATTAATAGGAACTTTGACTTCAGGAGTCCATACTACTGATATATATTCCAAGTTTGGTCTGACTAAAGCGTTATATATAGTCTAATGGTTGTGTTATACTAAGAGTTTGAATTTCTTATACAAATCCCAATATTTTGTAGGCCTCATTAACAATATTTATATAGTATTCATTAAATTTCATATTAGCATGTAAGTAAATTCCCAGATTTTTAGATACTACACAATTGTCAATTCTATAATTATTTTGAATGTATTCGATTTTGCCAGTAAAAGATATGACTCCACACTTCTTAATATTCAATATCATATTCGTCATATCATATTCAATATCATATGGTCGTGGTCAACCATATCAAATGCCTTTGAGCAGTCAGTCATTATTAAATCTAATTGGAGTTTATTATTTATTGCCTCACTAGCAAAATAAGACAGAATGCACATATTACTAGTTGTGTATAATGCAGGTAAGGAACCATGTTGTTCTGGAGCAAATTAATTTTCAAAATTGCTCAGCATATTCATATAGAGAATAGATTTAAATATTTTAACCAGGGTATTAAGGATACTTATAGGACGATAGTTTTCTGTATTGTCTCTATTACCTGATTTAAAAACTGAAGTAATTGTAGCCTCTTTGAGTTTGTCTGGAAAGGTGTTAGTTTTAAGAGATAGATTAAATAAATTGTTTTTTGCCATATATCAGAACATCCTCTAAAGGTATAGGCAGTGATATTATCACAACCAGTGGCCTTTTTTGGCTTTAATTTTTTTATATTAACCTTCCCCTCTTCTTCACTAATAACTGAAAAGTTAAAAGATCCCTGTGAACTACCCTGATGTGTGGATGATACCTGATAAATTGAGCTAAAATGATGAGAGAAAGCAATGACAGTTTCCTGACGGCCTGTATATGTATGATCATTTAAAGACATCTCGTAAGGAAAACCGCTGGTTTGTCTCCTACTTTTTATGAATGTCCAAAAACTATTTGGGTCATGCAAAATGTTATCTTCATTATTATTTTGATGCTGCAAAAATTCATTTTTGATTTTCTTTTTAATAGTATATCTAAGACTCTTGAATTTATTGTTATCGACAGCACTATCTTTCCTTATTTTTATATGTTTGCTTAATTTGTTTTTTTTTTGTCTGATTTTTTTAATAAGGTCTATACTTAAATATGCTATATATTTCTGTTTTTGTCTATTTTTAATAATTTTCTTTGGGATGCCTTGATTAATGCAGTCATACAATTTATCGTAAGATTGATTAATACAATCTGTAGCAATCATAAAATTGTGCATATCTGACCAGTCAGTGTCCGTTTTTAATTGATACAAAAGATTAAAGGGCATAATCGTACCTATAAGAATGTTGTATATTACTCTCAGTGTATGAATTATCTTTAAATTCTAGTAGTATTTCTAGTGCCGGGTGATAATAATCTTCAGAAACCAAAGGAGACCCAGACCTAGTTAGATTGGTTATGGATATGTTTGACAGTATAGATCAAGAAGTTTATTTTTACAATTTGAAATTGTATTATATTGATTTAAATTATTTAGATTTTGAAATTCTTTAAGCAACCTGCTCTTTTCACAACTTAAGTTAATAAATCCAGGAATATTAAAATCTCCAAATATGATGTTAACATTTTCTGCAAAAATTGGTTATAAAGTTATAAAAATTCTTCATAGATATCTAACCTTACACCACCAGGTGGTATATATTTTTATGATATGTAAAATCAAGAAAAATATTGGTTTGCTTAAAATATTTCAAAGTTCCAAAAAAATTAAAATAATTCAGATAAGTAGAATAATAAGCAACAAACATTTCGAAGAAGAAAAGTCTTTAAATTTTTGGATTACCTGTATTGAACAAAACGTAAGCTATGCATAAATTATTTTCTTTGTTAAAATATATTTGAGTGACGTGAGCGAACTTAACACAATTGAACCGGGTTTTCCAAATACATTAGTGCAGTGATTAGGACAATAGAATAGATTTTAGAAAGATATGTTTTTGTTAGTTTTTAAGAACTGGTAGGAAAATATTATTTTGTAAACAAGTTTAAGGAAATTTAAAATTGTAGGTAAAAATTTGTGTGTTATCGAAATGAAGAAATGAGAGATGGATGACGCGTTTTGATTGGATGAAATTGAAAAAGGTGGGATGATTGGTTTGAGAATGAGACTTTAATTAGTTTTTGAAACGAGAAAGATGGGATAGTTGGTTTTCAAGGGTACAAGGCGAAGGGCCGTGGTTCTCGTGTAGTTTCCTAGAGGTAGGAAGCAGTAGCAGTGAAAGTTTGTGAGTTTTCGTGTAGTTAGTGTATCTGACAGAAGCTGATCCAGTAAAAGATTGTAAGTCATATTTTTCTACTTATATTTCAAGAGTCACTGTTCAGGCCAACGAGAGATTCAGTTTATCGTAAAGAGAAGATATTCCAAGAGTCATTTTTCACTCGGGCCAACGAGAGATTAAGTTTATTGAGAGGAGAAGAAGCTAGCATGATTTGAACGATTCGTGCATTTGAAGGAGATCATTAAGGACGATAAACTTGCATCAATTTGTTGTAAGATTGCTGATTACCTAGGGAGCTGTTAAGAATAGATAGTGTAGACTACAAAGAACAAGGATTTGGACCACTCATCATCATAGAGAGATAGTTTTGTTTTTCTGCAGTTTTTCTTTCATTGATAACACAATTTTTACAATTATTTTGGAAAAGATATAAATATTTTGATTAGGTGATTTAGAATAATAATTGGGATTTTAAGTTTTTTTTACTTATGTTGTTTGTACCATTAATTTTGAAGGTTCACGTACGTAGAACAAAATTTTGAGAATCATTATATGAGATTTTGTTTATTGAAAATTTTTGAGTGTGAATTTTATTTCATTATTTTATTTCAATATATAATGTTAGATCCTATATGTTCTTTATTATTCCAGTATTCTTTGGACCTTACCTTTCACATGTAATAGCATAGATATTGAAGCACGAATAGAACCCTGAGATAAGAGAATTAAAAAGTGTGATAGAATCATAGTCATATCATTTAAATAATTTTAATTAATTAATTAATTAATTAGCTAATTAATTGCTTGGCGCACTAAGACTTTAAATATCACAATAATGTATATATATATATATATATATATATATATATATATATATATACAGGAGACATAAAATGAATATGTTTTAAACGTTACCTTAAGTAACAAGCAATCAACAATTAGTTTACAATTAACTTTAATACTTTCTATAATAAATTTCTTTTCCATTGCTACCATAACTCCACCACCCAATGTCTTACCACTGGCCCTATCTTTGCGGAAGGCTATATAGCGATTATCAAAAAGTTCTTCATTGGAGATTCCATCTTTAAGCCATGTTTCAGTTTCACATAATCTTCACTAAGAATATTGGTATATAGGTCACTTGTTTTAGTGCGTAGGCCTCGTACATTTTGAAAAAAAATGTTTAGATTTTGGGTCTACAGTGTTTGTATCATTAATTCTGATTCTAAGGATCCATCTGCCTTGTTGGCATTCTTGTTTTTACTAAAAAATTAGACACGAGGGTACCAGATGGCCATACTTCCCTCTTCCAAGCTTTTTTTAGTTCATCTCTTCTGAAGGTAACTTTCATTGACATATAAAGTTGAGGGTGTTCAGATGGATGAGACTCACACTGTACATCTTTAAAATTGGTGTCTAAAAGCGGCTTCAAGTCTGTTGTGGTCGTATTTGATGCAAGCATCAAATAGTTACATGAAGGGATACACACTTAGATACTGACTGCACATCCTTGGGTTCTTCGTTATTCTCTACCATAAACTTGCGGTATCTCCTTCTAAGCTGCTGCTGGCATTCTCCTTCATGATTTTTTGTGTATCCTAAATTTATTATTTCTTGCATTTTATTAGCCGTATGAACATGCAGAATACCAGCGAATTCTGTATTTCGCTGAACGTCTGTATTTTGCTGATATCTGCCTGATATCAACGTTCTGTGTCTGTAGTATTGGCGTAGCTTCACTTTCTATAGCACAGCATTTCACCAAGTTATTTTTGCCAACAACTACCAATCCAGCTACCCTTAAAGCACAAGATGGATGGAAAACTGCTTGACACGTTACATATCTCACAATAGTGGTAACAACATTTCTTTCACAACCTTTGCAAGTTTTAATTACATCGTAATTCGCGGGATTCTCTTCTCTGGTCATGTCACCAGATGTTGTCTGTTGTCTATGTAAAGAAATGAAAAATTTGATAAAAGAAACAGTGACCGTTTTTCTTCTTATTCTCGTATTCCTTATGCCCTTATAAGAGAGATATTGCTGGTGTACTCATTTTTTACTCATTGTAGATATTTTACTCATTTTTTGCATGCCTTTAGTTCTTCTGCTAGTTTTCTCTTTGGATTTGTTCCACCTCTTGATAGGCATACTTCTTTTTCTTTGTCCCTTTGTTTTGGCCTTAACGACCTTTCTTTATTAATTTATTCTTGTTTATTCTAGCTATGTTTTATGATCACACTGTTACTTCAAATTTATGCTTTATTTCAATCACCGAAATCCACTCATAGACGGATTTATAGCAGACAGTCCTTCACCTAAGACGGCTAAAGCTCTCTGCAAAATACTCGAAGCTAGAATCGGGAAACCGATCATTTTTGTCGACAATGACACTTCACTTATTTTTTTGTTTTTCTGTTGTTTTTTTTGTGCCCATTTTTGTCTTCACTTCTTTCTATATGCGTGTTTTTATTATTCCTCGCCTTGTCTTAATTACTGTTTAAATTTTTGTTGACAAGTTTGTGCATATACAGTACATTCAACCAACTTTCACCTCTAAGCGATTAATGGAATTTGCAGAAAACCTTTCGTTTTAGTTAAAGGCACGGTAAACTGCACTGGAGTTCTCCATAATCTTTTTAATTACCTATTTTGTTTAGAATATTTTTGCTTGTTGGGCCGGACACGTCGCCCGAATCAGTGATGAAAGGTGGACGAAGAGATTACTTGAGTGGAGGCCGAGGTTAGACAAAAGAAGTAGAGGAAGACCCCCTACACGTTGGACTGACGACCTCAAGAACATGTCAAGAAATTGGATGAAAAGTGCTCAAGACAGAGTACAATGAACAAAAATGGGGGAGGCCTATGTCCAGCAGTGGACGCAAAGAGCTGGGTGATGATGATGATGATGATTATCTATTAGTTATAGTTAATTTGTATAACTGAGGAGCAAAATTCAAATAAATTTTTAAATATTAATGTTTATTTGGCTAATAATAAATGTATAAATATAATTAATAATTATTAATCGACTATGTAATCCAACGTCAAACCTCCCAACTGAAAACAACTGACGTACGGGTATACCGTGGATCAGAATGTGGATCTGACCATCGCATCGTTTGCTTATGGCCAACGTGATAGTTAACTATTGTCGCCCTGGTGCATATAGTGACAAACTAATACGCACCTTGGCGCGCCTCGCCCGCCTATTTTATTCATGTTTTCATTGGACGAGAGGTCCGAAAATCCCATATAAATATTAAATTGTCTTTAAATATGAGATATTTCGGATCTCGAGTCAGTCGAAGTCGACCCTTCATGGGCTCTCCTAGAACACTTCGCTCTAGGGGCGATGCTCCAGTTTTCTTAGACTCTGAGGCTGAGTCTCTTTTTTCAATTGCAACCTTTGTGTTTTATTTACCTATTGTCGTTGTACAATAAATACATTTCGTCCTGAAAAGGACGAAATCGAACAACAGAGCGTACGGAAGTGGTATTTGCAATCATCTATCCAGCATACCTCTTTGTCCGGTACGACACTATGGCAAAAACAATAACACTCAGGTACAGAATATAGAAAAGGGACAAGAAGTAACATCCCCTAAATATAACATAGGAAAGGAAAGGAAAGGAAAAATTTAACTTACAGTTAATAGATCTCAAACAGTGTAAATACCAATATGAGGTCTTACTGACAGAGGATAGATGTAAATTCCAAGAGATCAAAATGGAAGATTTATCAGAACATACACAAATAATTGATATAACAACTGGAGAGTTAATGCCCTCAAAAGATCAAAAAACAGTAAAGCAGCAGGACCTGGAGACATCCCAATTGAGTTGGTAAAGTATGGACCAAAAATATTACATGAGATGTTGGTTCAACTATTTAACAAATGCTTAAAAGAACAAAATATCTCTGATGATTGGAATGTTGGATACGTCAGCTCAATATTCAAGAAAGGCGATAAACGCAAATGCTCTAATTATGGGGGAATAACTGTTATTAGTTCAATGGGGAGGTTGTACGGTCGAATAATAAAAGAAAGAATAGATCGTGCACTGCTGGTATATTCGTTCTGAAGCAGGTAATCGAAAAAGAAAGGCAAGGAATCTATCTACTCACCTATTGTTTGTAGATTCAGAGAAGGCATACGATACGGTATCTTTGAAAAAACTGTTTCCAACATTGACGAAAGTAGGTCTCAGTAGAGAGTATGTGGATGCTATCACAAATATATACAAAAATGCAAGAAGTGTCGTTAAAGAAGGAAACTTTATATGTGAATATTTTCCAATAATAAAGGCGCTTAAACAAGAATGTTGTCTATCTCCGACCTTATTTAAAATGTATATTCAATCATCGCTAGAGCAGTGGAGGAAACAAGTATCCGGAATGGGAATAGACAAAGACGGTGGTAAATGTCTAACAACTTTATTTTTCGCAGATGATCAGGTAGTCGTAGCGAATGATGAGGAAGACATGGACTACATGTTTAGAAAACTAAAGAAAGAATATGAAAAATAAAAAAAATCAATATGAATATATCAAAGACAGAGTATCTTAAAATAGGAGATGATGAAGAAGATCCAGAGTTAGAAATTAGAAACAAAAAAACATGCAATGCATATAAATATCTCGGATCTATAATATCTAAAGAAGGCACTACCTTCTTTAGATATTATAGATCGAAAAGAGACATCGAAAACAGAACGCAGTAGGGAAAAATCGGTTAACATTCTAAACTCTCTACTATGGTCTAAAGATATTAGACAAAAAATGAAATTGACAATCTATCGAACCTTGGTAGAGCCTATTATGACTTATGATCACGAAAAAAGGAAGAAAAAGAATAGAAGTAGTAGTAATGGATTTTCTAAGGAGAGCGTGTGGTGTATCCAAAAAAGATCATATCAGGAATGAAGATATTCGAACGAGGACAAATACTGTATATTCAATGTATAGTTTCAAATGTATATTTAATTGCAGTCTAAATCAGCTTTTCGCAAAGACTAAGATTTATTTATATAAATATATAGTTATTTGTTAATTTTTTTAATTACTGTAAATTCCTAATGTAATCGGAATTAAAGATTATTTTCTAAGTGTAATAAAATTTTCTTTCGCATGCGAAAGAAAATGATTTCAAATGCGAAAGAAACCTTAGCGACAATCAATTTGGATTTCGTATGGGGCTTGGTACAAGGGAGGCATTATTTGGCCTCCAGGTATTACTACAAAAATGCCGAGATCAGCGAAAAGACGTCTTTCTCTGTTTTATCGACTACGAAAAAGCGTTTGATCGAGTTTAAACACACAGAACTCATAGAAACCCTAACACAACATGGTATAGACCATAACACTGTAGCACTTATTAAAAAACTATATTGGGATCAAATGGCATCTATCAAAATAGACAATCGTCTGACAGCAGAATTGCCAATAAAAAGAGGAGTTCGTCAGGGCTGTGTACTTTCTCCACTGTTATTTAATATATATTCCGAAAAGATCTTTCAAAATGCCCTCGAAAATATTGAAGAAGGAATAAAAATCAACGGAGAATACGTAAACAACTTAAGATACGCAGACGACACCGTCATTATTGCGGACAGTGCTGAGGGTTTACAACGACTTTTGAATGTCATAACCAGAGAGGGAGATAGCTTGGGACTAAATATAAACACAAATAAAACAAAAGTGATGGCTGTTACACGTACACCAAATGTCGACATTAATATTCGTATCTATAACAAACATATAGAACCAGTACAAAGATTCCAGTATCTTGGTTGCTGGATAACAAACGATCTTGACCACGAGGTCGAAATACGTGCTCGTATAGAATATGCTAGGTCCGCATTTCAGCGAATGAAAAAATTTCTAATAAACTCTACGTTATCGTTGGACATCCGATACCAATTTGTAAAAACGTTTATTTATTCCATATTGCTATACGGAGTGGAAACATGGACTCTCGGAATTACAAGTATGAGGCGTATAGAAGCCTTTGAGATGTGGGTTTTTCGAAGAATGCTGAAGATCTCTTGGACAGAGCACGTGACCAACAACGAGGTGCTAAGAAGAATGGGTACTGACAGAGAACTCCTAAATATTGTAAAAAACCGAAAAAACGAGTTATTTAGGACATATCTACAGAGGAGAAAAATACAACTTCCTACGACTTATAATGGAAGGGAAAGTGGAAGGAAGAAGAGGTCCAGGAAGAAGAAAATGCTCCTGGTTGAAGAACATAAGAGACTGGACAGGCATGGACACACATGCGATACTAAGAACAGCTCAAGATAGAGAGCAATTTGCTGTAGTTATAGCCAACCTTCAGTAATGGAGAAGGCACCTTAAGAAGAATAAAATTTTCCTATAAATGGATACCTTTTGGACAAGAAAGCAATTATTATTATTATTTTTTAATATTATAAGCATAAAAAAAGTAAAAAAAATTAGTCTGTTTCTCAAACATTTATAATTTCCAATCCATTTTTGCACTTCTTGTCTCCTTGAGTTACAAACCGAAACAATGTGATCTCTTAAATTTGAAAAATTGACAAACAAAACCCCAGAAACTACTAACAAAACATAAAAGTCAAGTGGCACAAA